AGGACAAGGTGGAACCCGCTGCAGGCTTCTCATTGCTGGTGAACTCAACCAACAAGTCATTTCCTATGCCAGCAGGTACAAGCTGATGGCTGACTTCTAATTTCCACATGCAGGTCTCATGTGCCAGGTAGGGCTGGCCCACTGGGTCCCAGAAAGCTGCTGGTGCAGCCCCTTGGAGTCCCACAGTTTGAGGGCCCCCGTTCTATTGGAAAAACACCCTGCTACTTGCACTGAACTCTCTCTGACACCAGCTTCAAACAAGTAAGACCCCTCCCACCTGCACCATCCCCAGCTACCTGGCTCACCTGTCACCGTTGGCAGAAATGGCATCGAACTTGGGTTTCTTCTTTGGAATTTCATTCTGAATAGAAGATGTGGATAAGGTTTTCTGGCTGGGAAGGGGGGAAAAAAAAGACACGTCACAAATGAGAACACCTGCAAATGCAACATCACCCCACCCCATAAGAAAGAGGTGCAATTAAACACCATCCCACACTTCCAAGCCCAGCAAGGGAGATCTTCAAACAATGGTCAGAGTACAAGGGTGGATAATCAGAAGTCCCTGGTTTTAACCCTGGCTCTGCCACTGACTGGCTGTGTCACCTGGAACAAATCACTTTCACCTCTCGGTACCTGTTTCCAGCCAGCTAGAACAGCAAACCTACCCCATGGTTTAAGACACACTCCTCATTAGTTGTATAAATATAGTTTACTTTTAATTTTTCTATGAGAAAACTCACTAACTAGACAGGGGACATTTTGTAAATAGGTGGCTTTGCTCCAGAGCTGAGTCTGCTGTGAAAACCCTGAGAAGCATTGGTTATTATAAGGAGTTTGCAGCAGAACTGGGTTTGCATATTAATGAGAATCAGAGTGTCTAGAAAGATGACTAGTTAGATAGAAAATATTACCCTGCACTGAGGTCTAAGACATGTTTCCCGCTGGTATTCAGAAGGGTGGCAAAGGAGATGGAAGCGTGCAGTTCCCCTGCTCTGCTGCTCAGAAATGTGCCTCTAGTACAGCAACATTTAGTCCTGTGTTGAAGACGCATAGCAAAACACATGCCCCGACACATACCAAATGCACTCCAGGTCAGGTACTTTAAAAGCCACAAGTCTCTTTAGCCCTAGAGACGATTGGTAGTGATAGGTAGTGACGAGTGGTAGTGATAGATAGTGATGAGCGGTAGCGATAGATAGTGCATATATTGCTTTATTTGTGCTTGCAAGAAAGACATCCCAGTGCATCCAGCAAAAAAGGATTTGCTAACATCTTCTGCTAAGAGTCGTATGTGGCTTTGGAGTGTCACAGGTTTAGCCCACAGATGCAAGTGCTGGGAGGAAGCGCCTGCAGCAGCAGTTTCACACAAGTTACCTGTTGTAATGGCTGCCACCGCTGACCCTGCTGTACTGCTCCTTCTCTTGGAGGCTCGTCCGGGAAGAGCTGCTCAGATGTTTGCGTTGCTCTTTGGTCTTCTGCAGGACCCGTTTGTATGACAACGTGCACAGCCAGCACAGCAGCTTCCCATCCACCTGCAAGGGAAGGCAAAGAGGCAACGAGGAGAGGATTTCCCTCATATCTTGCCTACAACTTGAGCCTACAGTGCACTAGCAGTATCCTCAGGGTTTATGGGCCCCAAGATGATCGCACAAACAATGATTTGAGGCAACCCTGAAGTGTCTTGGAAGCATGACGACTGCATTCAGCATTGCCATAAGCAGCACCATGAGCAACGACAAAAGCTCAGCATGCCTACAGTTTATCCGATGCTGAGATTTTTGGACGTTCTAGAATCAGAAGTCACATCCTGCACAAACTGGGGTGGTTATGAAGTCAAAGCCCCACAGCTGTACCTAGATGGGCACCCTGGGAAACCCAAGCACTGCTGCTGCATGTAGAAATGGCAAGAACGAGTAGAACGTTTGGATGACGTAACACAAGGCCCCAGTCCTGCAAAAACCTGTACGAGCACTTCACTTCAGCACTGCTCGCACGGCATCAAGAACACGTGCAAGTCGTTACAGGATCAGGGCTATGAAACACGTTTGTGGGCAGGACACATCACTTCGCACAAAGTCAAGGACCCCTGGTCCCATTTCATAGTGAGGTCCCCTTCTCATTTGTGCTCCCTCCTACCCTCAGCCCAAATTCAAGAGGCGTTTCAGCATGAAGTCTGACCAAGGAGCTAAGATGCTGAAAGAGCAAACAGTTTCACCATACATCTCACATCTCTCTCAGGTAGCCCAGGAAATATTTTACAGCCAGTGCATGTTATTACAGCCAAAGCTCTCACTCCGTGCAAAAGAAGCCGTTGTGGCAATCGGTCCTTCCATCACTCCAGCTCCTAGTTTCATAGTGCTTAGGGTCGGAAGGGACCTAAACAGATCATCAGGTCCGACCCCTCGCCCCGGGCAGGAACGAGTGCTGGGGTCGTAACACCCCAGCCAAATATCCGTGTCATCCTGTACACGTGTACTCACCTTCTTCCTGTCGTCCTTTCTGTCAAACGCGCACTGCTGCTTGCACTGTTCACAGGAATGTGGTGGCCCATACTTCTTTTCAGAGTTCGTACAGCGCTGGCACTTGTTGCCAATAAACGCTGCTATTATGTTGCAGTACTGGCACGGTTTTGGCTTTAAAAAGAAAAAGCAATAAAGTACAGTACAGTAATGTTTTAAGATTGCAGAACATATGTGCAGCTTTCTAAAAATAGAAGATACGTGCAAGGCTCTTTTCTCTTGTTCCAAGTGCTGCCATCTTTGCTTATTTTCCTGCATTAAACTAATACTGCAACGCCGACTCAGGAGTTGCACATGTACCTAGTCAGGCCCAGGAGCAGAGTCTGGAACTAAAACCCCCATATGATTAGCCAGGACACCCGAATCACCCTGATTCTGCGCAAAGTGCCATGAACCCTTTCACAAGAACAGTCAGGACCTCTGCCTTGCATCTAGTCCAGAGGGGAAGAAAGGTTTGTCTCTGTTTTTTGGGTGACTTCTAATTTAGATAACTGCATTCTGGCTTTCTTTAATCCCCCTCGCAGCTCCGCTGGGCACGTGAAAGTGTATACTGCCCTAACCCGAGACAAGGAACTGCTATACACTACAACACATTTCACCCCAGCACGTGTCACAGTTCACGTGTCACCTTCCACGGACAGCCTGAGACGGGCTTCGGGATCCTCTGGGATGACGGGCAATAGGAGGAACACTACGTCAAGTCTCAGGACTGAAAGGGAAAGGTCCTAGCACTTACCGTCCCATACAGCTTCACGTTCTGAGCGCATTTCTTGCATATCGTGTTAGTTTTGCTGTTAAAACAAAATACGGATTACAAAAAAAATACAGAATCGTTATTTTGCTGGGACAATTGATGTGCAAAATTAAGCCTCCCGCAGTTAGGTCCTGAATTTCCCTTAATACACAACTCCGTTTGCAGGAGTTTTATATTCACCTTGCTCCCAGCATTGATATCAAAGCTGATTTTTGTCATTCCCGCCTAGCTGGCAATAATCTGCCAGGTTACCAAAAGGGATCCTTTTATTTTTAGGCCTCCTCAGATGATATCAGGCTTTCAACATTGTAGGTGTGATCTCAGTTGGATTTGGATCAAAGCGAGGTATTTGGTCACCAACTAACCAGTCGCGGACATGACAAATACCAGCGACCATCTCATTTCAGCACTGGAATTGCACCGCGAACACGAGCTCGGATGGAAGTTTGTTTGGGCCGAGGGGAGCCGTCGACAAGCGTCGCCTTGACGCGGACACGGGGCGGGCACGCTGTGCAGGGGCGTGAAAGACCCCCGAACCCCCCGCTCCTCAGCATCCCGCCACGCTCACACCGGGCAGGCGCTTCGTTTACCTCTCCTGCTGGAACTCGGTCCGGCAGTACGTGCACTTGACGATGGGGTGCGCGATGCGGCACTCCTGGGAGGGAAGGACACGGCGCACCAGGGTCAGCGCTGCCCCCGGGGTCGCCTATCCCCTCCCCCACATCTATCCCACCTCCCCTCCCCCACGGGAGGGCATAGGGAGGAAGAGGTGGGGGGACCTCTTGCTCCCT